CCACAGCACGAGCGGCATCGCTTAAACATGGCCAGATGACCTCACTGACACAACACTGAACAATACTTGGCGTATCATCGCCGGTCCAACATGGCCGCCTGAACCGGCCGCTCCGCCTGTCCCCCCCCCCCCATCCCCTCCCCCGCTAGACGTCCCGGTCGTCCATGGCGAGCGGCGGCTGGCTGCATCCGGCGGCGTCTCCTGCGGCGGCCGGTGCCTGGTGTCCTTCCATCGGCCCGTCGTGACCGGTCAGGGAAGACCGCCGTCGGCGTCGCCGGGCCACCAGACACGGGATCGGCAGCCACGCCTGGTCGCTGCGGCGGTGCGGTGCGAGCAGCGTCACGACACCGGTCGCCGCGCACGGCAGCCGTCGACCGGTCGGTGGACTGGTTAGTTGGGCTTTCGAGCACTGGCAGTATATGGTTATGCATCAGGTGCGGGTGCAGACCGGTGGGAGTGAGTGGCCGGGCCCTCACTTCACAGTGCGAACAGTGTTAAAAAGTCACAGTCACATAGAGGGACACGAATTATGCTGCACTCTACCATATCTCGCCCCCTTCCCCCCCCCCCCCCTCCCCTCCCTCAAGTGTCCATCGCTTGGTGGCGAGAAAGCGACCATTTCACGAACACCGCTGCTCCGCAGGAAGCCAGGGCGAGCGAGGTTCTTCATCGCTCAGTACAAGTTGCCTGTGCTGCCACTACATGCCATGGGGCTAGAACACAAATACTGTTGGCGAAAACCTGCTGAGAAAACTAATTCGCATCTAAACAAGATGAAAAAGACTAGAGACAGTCTATCTTGATAGTGCGGTAAATTGAGTTACAGACACTCCATTTGGCAAGCAGTTTTCCAATATTCATTCTTACCGAAACTGTACCTCGGAAAGTGACCACATGTGTATCGCTGGCACCACACTAACACCTGGTGACGTTTGTGACAAGTGATTTTCGTAATGTAAATTCGATTGCCGCAAACACTTACCATTAACCATTTCATTGCTACTTTTTGAGGGGTTATCAAGTTACGATTTATATTGGCATATGCATTATACCTGTCTGTATCTGTACCTGTATCTGTGAGATTGACATTTGTATATAAATCAAACGCACCAAAGAGCGGAGCCGGCAAAGACTACCGTGAAACGACGGAAGAACCGAGAAACGTTTGACCTATTCCTTACAATCTTGTTAAATTCATCTGTCAAGCTGTCAATGTAGAATCGCCTGAATATCATTGGAAAGCCCATTATTGATGTTTATGCACTCAAGCCGGTAGCACCTCAGCATAAGCCTCGTGCGATGTCATGCTTCAGATTTCATAACTGATTTTACAGCAACTTCCTGTCATGGCAACACAACTGTCTGCATGTCCAATGCGTGGCTGAACAAGAAGATTGTTGAGCGCACTTACCTGCCTCGAAATCATGAGCAAATCTCTTAAAACGTGTCATCTTACCTCGTATCACTGCTATGTACCAAGACTACGTCACTACTAAGTGAGTTCTCTTGCATCTGTCATCTTCTCCTAAGCTCGTTTCCAGACTGATTAAAACCTTTTAGAGCCTACAATCAAAAGCGCAGGCAGGGGCGAAGGGGGCATTCCCTTTCTCTTTGGTTTCGAGAGGCTCGAAGGGCCCACGGACTTAAAAGGCTGGCCTGAGGTCGCATTGAGGCTCCATTGACTCAGGGCTCCTGAGTCAATGAGAAGCCACCTGTATCCGTTCGGGATCCGCCTTTCCTGACAGAGGACCCTGTCGTGGCAAGGGGCCCTTAGTCGGCCAGGAGCAGTATCCAAAGGGGCCCGAGGACGGAAACGAAAGGTCCCTCGGGTGGGGGAGGGGGGGGGGGGGCAAAGCTCGAAGGGCTAGCTGTAGGTAACAATAAGGACACTAACTCTACAATCGATGCTCATTCCACAGGGTTTCAAATTACTCTGCTGGGCCCCGACAAAGTCCGGAAAAGGCCTGATTGATGTCGGTTTAGAGGGAGGGCAATGAATCATCGCAAAATGAATAGCGCCGGCGACTATCCCATGCAGACATATTATGTCCGGTTCGTTCAGTTCATGGACTTTCTATATGCGAGCAGAATCGCATTCTTCGGTTGCTTCTGGCTTCCATGTCAGTCCAAGACGGAAACAAGCAAAAACTAACCAGCATAGTCGATCTCCCCAAATTCAAGTGGGCCGAATCCGGTGACTCCTTGTGTTTTTTTTTTTACCAACAGGTGGTCTTTCGTTCACCCTGGTGCCCCCACCCCCCCTTCACATACACCAAGACCTGACTGTGTTCCCTCTGCTGCCACATTCCCTGTTGGACTGAAATATATTCCTGTTGCTCCCATCATCTTGGCCACGGGTTAAACATGCTGATGATAGCGATCTTTGACTCATACGAATCATCAGAGGTCGGACACCTATGTGTGTGTGTGACACTTGGTCATCCACTCTCCTTTCACCTGTCATCGAAGATAGTGCAATCTCCCAGCACAGGCGCTACCTTACTCCGTTTAAATGGAATCTGTAGGATTTGGTTCGGTAGAAGGCATAGACGTGATATGGTCCGGTCCGACTTAACTTCCAAATTCAACCGTTTGGATCGCCTTAAAATTAATCGTGTAAGTTGTACGTTACCGACAGTGATCTCTACTACCAGATTGGAGATCACTATGATCTCCAACTGGTGCTTTAGCTCGCTAGTTTGCGGATTGGGCAATGCTTGATAACCTCATGGCGGAGAGGGAGGAGAAGCGATCGAAGCAAGAAGGGGGTCAAGTCATCTTATGGTCACCATCAACTCAAGAACACTCCGGCTTGATATAAAAAGTGCGTGTCTATCTAAGACTTCGCACGTAGTTAGTTCTATGAGATAAAATCCCTTCCATGACCGCTTGACGTCTCGTAGACATGAAGGCCGATTTCTATCCGATCTTAGATGTGAGCTTTGAGCGCTGTCACCAAAATGGATAGTTTCCATCCCAATAGTGTGGCGTGCTCGTCCAGGCAGCTCGTCCCACGTGCCCCACACCCCTGCCCGGCGGAGCACCCACCGTCCGAAGTCAGCCGCCTCGGCGACCGTGGTAGGCAGGTCGTGTCCACTCGTCTCCGGCAGGAAGGCCGTCATGCCGCCCGCCAGCAGGCCGCACACCCCGAAAATGCAGAGCGGCAGCGTGGCCGTGTCGTCGCCCTGGTCACCCAGGTCAGGTCAGGTCAGGGCACGTCAGGCTACACAGCCGTGACCTCGCCATTCGGCGGGCGCAGGCAGGTGGGTCCCGCCGGCCGCCTCACGGGCTTGTGGCGTGTCTCGTTCTGGTCGCCGCCGGGCGGACGGCGGGCGGGGTAACGACAGCTCTACCCGGCTGCCCGTGGCGTGTCGTGACGGGTGCTGGCAGAGTGAGGCCGTAACGCGCGCCGGAAGAACCGATAACTACGAGTCAACAGCAGGTTGCCCGGCATGGCGACGGGCTACACGCCAGCTGCCACCGTGAGAGAAGTTGCGGGGATAACTTGATACAGCACGCCAGTGACAACCGCTCCAAAGATAACGACGACATAGAAGGAAATCCACCTCCAGTCGCCTCGCAAAGTCGACAACGTTGTACAGCCAGACAGCGTGCTACACGCTCGCAACATCAGCGTTATTATGAGCGAACTTCGTCACCTTGGCTGCTGAACGCGCAGCTTCTGTAGTTACCAGATCGGCGATGACCGGTGCGAGCACGGAGCCGATTCTTCCGCTGGCTGAAGCCACGCCCACGCCCATCACACGCACTCCGTTTGGGTACAGCTCCGCCGTGTACAGGTACAAGAGCGAGAACGCTGAGACGCCGCGCCGAATTTGCCCAGCAGAGCCAAAGCCGTCGTCAGCCACTCCAGCTCTGAATTGGACCCGAGATAAGATATGTAACACGTTCTCGGGAGATGACAGACAGCACCCGTTCGTCTTGATTGCAAGCTACCAACGCATGTCGTCCAATGTAAACAGATACTTCGACGACTGATATCCGATAACTGAAGTTGTGTTGTGTCGGGGCAGGCACTCACGGTGTGCGCGAACTGGCCGAGAAGACAGCCGCCGCTCGTGTGATTTGTTTGATTTACCGGCCGTCCCGTGTTGACTCGTGTGGATACACCGCCTACATTTGACGATGTGACCTTGGAACATACTTTGCAGCATTTGACCGTACAGCAGCATTGCAGGGACTCGTTCACTCAGCCAAAGAGGTGGCGGATGGCAGATCCGACTGGGATGGCACCTTTATCCCACATAGTAAAAATTCAGTCTTCAGTTTCGTTCATTCCCCCACCGCTGAGATGAGTCGCCGTTGGGGGAAAATATTTCAATGGATCAGTGAGCATTATGGGGAACGATCCATGAATCATCGCCAGAAAGAACCAGCTTGTTACTTGATCCATCGCTACGCAAGCAACAATGACACAAAGATCCGCGTTTGGGGAGGAACGTGCTGTACACAGCATGGGAGATAGGTACCCAACTTATAGCTCCTCTTGTCGGCACATTGCCGCACCTTGTCAGGGAAGAACGCTGCGCATGACTCAGTGTTAACAACGGCCGGCGCATGGACTCACCGTGGCCGGCCACGAGTCCTGCGCAGATGGTGCCCAGTCCACTTAACAGGAAGGCACCACCTATCACCAGCTTTCGACCCAGTCTGAAATGGTCCAGCCAAGCCGTATTAAAAACACATGTGTACCGCGGTAGTCGCATCTCCTCTTCCGTTTGTGCTGTTTTACTCAGCGGACGTGCCCGGTATGGAACCTTCCCCAACCGCACGGGAAAATTAACTGATTGGCGCACTTGCCAGCATGTGAAAACAGCTCACAAATAGGCACCTAGTACTATGCGTGCATGGTCGACACTTCTTTGCTTTGATGGAGGCACGGTTCTTTCGTAACGTTTCTCAGCTGCCATCTCTGGCGTGAAGTTTACGACGTTGCCCTAGGACGAGTTGCCCTAAAACTGCGACATGGGACTTACGGATTAATGGTGAGTGGCGCAGAACACGTACGACGGTATTTCGATTAGCATCGTGAGGATGAAGTTGGTGTAAACGTCACCTCCCAGGTCAGTCGACACCATGCCGATGCCGTAGTAGACCATCGCCACCACCAGCCTGGCGACAGCTTCGAGGCGTCAGGTGCGAACGGCATTGGACCGGGGTCCGCACGTGACGTCGAGAGCAGCGTGTCCGCAGACACAGATTACGTAGCCCTTCGTCGACGCGATCATACAGACGCGTAACTCTGTGACGTGGTGCTGATGGCATCCAGGACAGGTGGAAACACTTTGCCATTCACTCAGGAATCGCGTTTTCATTATGACGTCACACAAAATATCCCGGACAGTCACAGAGAGTGCGGTGATCTGAACAGGCGATAAGAGTGGTTCTCTCATGTGTGATTGCTTACCACTGAAAGCCAGGATGAACGCTCGCTTTAGGAGGACAGGTGACTTAATCCACACGCTAATGAAGCTTTCATTGATGGCTTGGGGCTCTTGGAGTGACCCACTGCTCCTCTCCTGTAGAAGTTGTAGGTGACTGTTACCATGTTGGCCTAACACGCGCCCCGGATGGCCGGTTGGATACGCTCCCCTCGGGAAGTGGCCAGTTTAACGCCGCTAAGATCTCAAGAACCAGGAGATCTAGAGACACCAAGTTCACAGAATGTGTTGGTCTGTACGTGAACTCACTTGGGCCAAAGTTTGGAGTTTCTAGATCATGATCTTCGGGTTAAATTAGGTCAAACAAATTCAAACTCCAGGTTGGTCTACAAAGTGCCTCCAAAATCTAGATATCTGTTCTCAACAAGAAATCACATGTTCATTTAAGGCCAGTGATCTTGTTTGACATTTCGAAGGTCATGGTGACAAAAATCATACAAGATTGCTTTGAGTTTTGCATTTGAGTAAGTGATGAATGTTACGCTAAGCATTAGCGTGATTATTTTTTTTTTTTAAAAATGTCGACCAGGTTCATTTCAGGTCAGTGGTGTTTTCTGACCTTCTACAAGTCCATGGAAGATGTGTAGTGCAGTTTACTGTTGTCAATGAATTCAGGATAAGCACAAGAAACCGCCTCATGCAGCAAGCCCAATAATAAAAAACATACTGGCTTTGACCTTGGTCTGACTTTCATACCCGAGCCTAGGCCAATGGAATTACAGATTCAATTGTGGTGTTGCCTAAAAAAGCATCTCAGAGAGGTATGGCTCGTCAAAATTCCTTTGTTGCATCAGATAAAGATCAGATATACGATTCCCTAGAAATAAACTTTGCTCAATCTATGACCTGACTTTGATCTGTCGTATGCCACCATGCTTACAAGGTACATCCTAAGTTTGGATACCAAACGATCCGCTAATCACGTACCCACAGCTACGAAAAGTTTGGCGCTGCTTACGCTCAAAAAAACCATTCCGGAAAACCTCTGGGGGGTCAAATTTTATCCCCTACCCAAGCGCGTGTTCAACGGCATCTACACACCTACAGAGAATATGTGCAAAAGGACAGCTGATTAACACAAGAAAACTGAAACAGGCGAAATTAACGTAAGCTTGCAGTGCATTTGTGAGGAACGGTATTCAGCTAGAAAAGACAGAATAGTAATAGCGTTTTGTCGGAGAAAAAACCAGGAGAATGGAGATAGACATGGGTTGATATTTCCGGCAACATACCTTAATCGAAACAACAGAAGAAGAAAAGAAAGAAACTTTGCTTATATTTCGATAAATGCATGTTGCCAAAATATAAACCTGACTTTATCTCATCTCCTGGTTTTTCTCGGAGAATAAGGTGTTACGACTGGCTTCTCTATGCAGACAGCATAACTCAATTTCCACATTCACCCACAATTTTTATAGCAGCATAAAAAATGTTACTTGGAATCCAAATCCTTGCCACGCGACTTTGTGATGTACCATTGGGCGTACTTGGTAATCAAACTATTGCGGGGTCAGGAGAACAGTGATCGCCTGCTTGGTACAGTAGCAGACTGGAATGCTGAAGCCGGAAACTCTGCCATTGATCAGAATTGGGCAGGATGAAACAATCATCACGAATGTAAGGCCATAGGGGGGAGATAATGAGCCAGCTCGGCGTCCGCAATACATTTATATATATATATATATATTATATAATATATAGATATATATATTATATATATATATATATAATAATGGCGTGGAGAATTAACGTACTTACCCTTTATTCACCATCAGAAAGTATCGCACGTATGAATATTTTCTACCCTGGAGTTAAGTAGACGTTCGGTCACGTGGGCTATGCTACGACCCACGTTGAGTGCCGCGCTGCTTCAGTCCTCATCGAATTAGCGAGACCCAAAGCCCTCTGAGGTTTTCCTTAATGTTTTAACAAATGGAAGTCTTGAAAAAAAGTTGGAGGGATGTACCGCACTCGAAGTATTCAGGCAAGCGTCAGATAGAAAGAAATAAGCTCACTTCTAACCACTGACTTACCTTAGAGTGTTGAAAGACTGCTTTAGACACACAAATTTGCTATTTAGTAAACGCTTGTGATCAATGCATCATCGCCGCTGCTGATGTCAAGGAACGCTTCATGGCGTCATTTGCTGCCAGAATAGTCGTGTCAGAATTGCAGACGGGCTGACTCACTTGTAGTACTTCAACTTGCCGAGAGGTGGACGGTGCTGTTACTGAGTCTGTTTGTAGAACTGAATATCGTTATGTGCTCGTGGTTTGCCTTTCCTTGTGGTGCCCTCGCATATTTTGTCCACCAGTGATTCTATATTGCCAACTTGCACTCCCATACCATCTATGATATTTTTCTTAACACGCTCCCGGGTGGCCGGCTAGATGCTCATTTCGCTCCGGTACGGAGTCAACTTGAGCCCCCCCCCCCCCCCCCCCCTTGAGATCTTGGAACTAAGAGAGCTAGAGACCCAAATGTACGGGGTTGTTGACCTGTACGTGAACTCACTCAAGTACAAGTTTAAGATCCTTAGGTCTTGACCCTCCTGTCAAATAAGGTCAGACAATGTCAAATTCCAGGTTGGTCTCCAAAGTCCCCCAAGAACTAGCTGACTTGTTTTCTAAGCAAAAGGTCACATGCTCAGTCAATGTCAGTGACCTTGTTTGGACCTTTGAAATATCAAAGTGACCAAATCATCAAGACTACACTTGAGTTTGCATTTTAATGATCGACACGGGTTACGCTGGGCAGTATGTTTCCTAAAAAATGCTAACCTGGGTCATTTCAAGTCAATTACCTATTTTAACCTCTAAGACCCCATGGAAGATGTAAAATGCACTTCCTGCTATCAATAAAGTTTAAATGGGCACCAGAACCTGCTACAGCAAGCCCTAGAGTAATTAAAACAGGCTAGTTTTGACCGTGGCCTGACCTTTATACCTGACATTAGCTCAACGCTATTTGCTCATTCAATATTTGTGTTGCCTAAGAAACATCTGCAGGGATGTATGGCTTTCGTCTAACACTCCGTTGTCGCATTAGATTGAACGATTCCCTAGAAAATACTTCGCCAAAAACCAGTGGTCTGACTTTGACCTGTCTTAGGTCAACGACCTTACAAGGTACATCTTAGTTGTTGGTTACAAACGATCCGCTGTTTAATTGTCTACAGCTAGGCAAAATTTGGGGTGGCTGCGCCGCGCCGTTCGGAACCCATTCTGGAAAGCCTTTGGAGAGGGTGGATTGACCGCCACCCAAGAGCGTGTTAAGGGGAATGCCCTACTTTGAAGGCATTGAAGTTAGCATGAAATGCAATGCAGTAAGCTCACATATAACTATTGGGCATGCTTAAGATTGGAAAAGGCTGCCGAGACAACATAATTTCTCGGTTTAGTAAATACGCTCCTCAACACGTCATCGTTTGATTATGCTATCATACCCAAGCAGGAATATTGAATGAGACCCAATTGGAAGCGGCTGTATCTGGAAGTCGACTCACGAACGCCAGATATGAACGACTCAACCATTCTGTTTCCTTTGGCCTTGACCGCCAAATGCCAATAGAATGGCATTGATTTCAATGACGTTATTATGGCGCCATGAACTGCCTGGGCGGCTTTGAAATAGTCTCCCCGAAATAGCCTGCACACATTTGCGGACGGTGAGCTCAGAATCTAGAGGGGATTAGGGCTTGATAAGGGCAGGGCTGTGAACTGCACCAAATGATCTTTAACGTGGCTATTTCATTACAAATTTCTATACAAATGTGGAAGGCTTCCTTCAAGTTATTCCATTCAAGTTTGATTTCCGTCCTAGGTCGTTCCACTGCCTAACCTCCCGTATCATGCCGCATAAAACGGATTGAGGTTTGATGCTTACGATGAAACGCAGGTACATTAGTTGAGGGCAAACTGAAAGTTGCTAGAAATGGTGCTGGCGCCATGGCCGTCCAGCTCGGATAACTCGATGACCTTCATTGACTTCGTGACCATGAGGACCACATGGCCCAATTGGGTGGCACTATTCGAGTGACGTTACTATGGCGTCATGCATGCCTGGATGACCCTTGAAGTAGTCTGCACGAAATGGTTTTCACCAAGTATTGCTGACGTCTGCTTCAGAAACCAGAGGCGGCTTAAATCGTTAAAAGACGCTGTGAAGTGCATTGCATGGTCTTCAAAAAGGTCTATTTTAGTCCAGAACCCCAAACGGATCTGGAAAACTGTAAACACCCTTTTTAAAAGCAACAAGTGAAAAGGCTATACGACTGAAAAAGCTCTCGGTACCTGAGTTCTCAACATTTGTTGGAGACGTCAAATGAGAACTAGAAAGACTTGCCCTTTATAGACAATCCTTTAGTCGAAGCCATGCCTGCCGCATTTCGCGTTCCGCCGCATGATAAGGTAGGCTTTGTCACTGCATCTCAAGCCCAAGGTAATGCAAACAGTTACAAACAGTATAAATTTACCTATGCCGGGTCATTCAAGACCCCATTTGTGCAAATGTGTCACGTAGACTAAGCCAAACAGAAATATTATACAGACCGTGTGCACCACTGACCAATGCATGATGCAGCATCACGATCGGTACCTAGAGCTATTCGTTTTAGCGTCGTGTCATGCTTACTTCCTGAGATAACGAGGTCTATAAACACAAAATTTGATATACATGACCTGATCTGGCACATCACGGAACACACCACTTGAAGAGTTTCTGTCTCTATATGGCCTGGTGTAACAAAGGCTATGCAAACCGCACCTCCCACTATGCATAGATGCACAGATCAGAAGTAAGAAAAGGGCTTAAAGCTTTGATTGATCAAGTATATGAGAATGAGTTAAAGTTCTTAGACTCATTTAGACATTTGATTTACCGAGAGTCGCTGATTGACGGACATTGTAGAGCTAGATAGCGATTATATTGACGCTACTCAACGCTTTGAGCTGAGATCATGCTCAATAGTAGGTGATCTCATGTGAAGAGAGGATGATGCTCAAAAAGGGATTATCTCAAGGGGATGATGGCTTACCCGCTAACGTCCCATCGCTGTTTAGCACAACATCCTGGTACATAAAAGGTCGTTGGCTCAACTGAGAATTTTAAAACTCAGAATGCCGAAAACCAGGAGCTGAATTCCTCTCTAGGTTTATCAGTTGAATAATGGATTTGTTACACCTTGACACTCATTGATTGGCTTTATTATTGAAGAGTACCTTTCTTATTGAAGAGTACCTTTCTCTAGCATCTTTCAAAGTGACCCGGGCGAGGGAACAAAGAAAGTCCGAGGGCTGGAAAAGGTGAGAAAAAAATGCTCTTCCAATAAAAGATAATCTGCGCAACGGGCGAAGTTTGTAAAATGAAATGGTGAGGCTGCGCAGGAAAACATTGCTAAACTAAACGTGAGCCGAAAAGAAACTAAACAATGGGTGTTTATTTTCACGATTCTACCACACCCCTTTCAAAACTGCGAGGCTGAAACCCTCTCATAAATAAGGCAACTACACCACCACCCAGCTGTGCATGAGGTGTCTTGCTTTACTGGCCCGACCATCGCTATAACGTATTGAGCTAAAAAAAATATCCCGCAGTTTTTGGCAACGAACGGCTGTGTCCTTTCAGGATATCGTCCTGTCCTTTTGGGAACATTACGGCTTTGCTGTTCACTCATTACGGCTGTGTATTTTCTTCTCCGCCACGGGCGCAGCAAGAGCTATCCCCCCCCGCGCTTAGGTCCGCATTTTCACGTCTTCACTGCATAGAAAACGACTCCCTTGAATCCACTGATATCGAGTGCTTAACATGGGTGTACACGGGGTTTTGTGTTGGAGAGGCCTTAAAAGAAAGCTTTCACTGAAATCCAAGTTCAGCATACCGAAGAGACGCGAAGTTTATTGCATGACGTTATACAACCTCGAGTGTTCTTGATCTACTTATTTGCACGTGTCTTCCTCCAAATGGTTTTGATGTAAGCATTTAGTCGTGCTCATATTGATGCCATACCTAGAATTGGCCAGGGAGAGGCACGTGTCCCTGTGTTCACTATGCGCGTACGTCTCTGGTGCTCACTGAGCTCCATCTCTTTGCCCTTAAGAAAAATCCTAGCTGCCGCACTGTAGACACTTGCAACGCAACAGACGCGGGAAGCCTTCAAAACGTGCACCTTGTCCGTGCACTGAGCAAAAACGTACATGCATGAACACCGATCTTCCAAAGCATATAATTACCTTCATGACCAGCTCTTCAGGAAAAGGGTTTTCCATTCCACTTGGCCACGTTTCTTAGCACCTTCTCGGCCTTGTCCTTCCGGTCGACTGCCATCAGCCACCGTGGTGACTCAGGAAGAAAGCTGAAAACGTCCAGTTTCAACCAGTCAGCTGAGACATAATCGATGTCTTTGTTGAAAGCTGAGCCCGAGTACTGGTATCTTGAGGCTGAGTCCGAGTCTGTCGCATGCTTTTGAATCGCATTAGTTTAGTTTGAGCCGTGGTGAATACGTGCAGTTCGTACCTGAGTCGCAGCTAGTTTAGAAGTGCACTAATTTGAGCCCGGGTCTGAGTACTGGTGTCTCGACTATGAGTCCAATGAGCCCAGAGGTCTGAAAGGCACACTAAAACTCCTACTCTATGAGGGGTATTCTGGCACGGGTATTGCATTCAAAGAATGGGACGTTGCTCAATTGCACCCCTGATTTTGGAAATGTCTCACTTAAAGGCAAACAGTTCAAAAACCGAACCGACAAATCACCAGAGCTAAAGGAATACAAAATCATCAAAGAGCAATCAACGTAATCGACTTGTGAAGGTCATTGTGTTGATCACCTTATGATTTTCAGTTTGAATCACACAAGGACTGCGTTTCAAGACCTCGTTTGAGAGCCTGAGCGTGACTGAGACTGAGAGGCTGAGCGAGCTATCTTCAGTCGTATGCGTGGAAAGTGGCGGCATTTGCTCCTGATCGGATATCGGGCCACCTTTTCCAGTGGCCAGTCTCTGTGCTGCAACATTTCTACGACGACGTACTGCGTACTGTGGCATTTTGGTTTGACCGCGGATCCAGTGAAATCTAGTGCTTACTAACGCCATTTAAGTGGCGTTAGGCATTGGACTAGTGCCTTAAGCGTTATGCCGCAAGTGACCCGAAAAAAAAGAACATGACAGTGTTATATCTCTGCTGTTCTGCACTCTTTAAGGGCGAACAAAAGCCGGATCATTGGAGCAATCAATTTTTTATCTTGGTATCGATAACTACTATCAATTCACCTTTAAGCGCTCGATCCCTTCGACTCGCCCCGGACAGCTCTCCGGCGCCATCCTCGTCAGACCGGGGTGAGATGTGTTTCAGCCCGATCCCCAGGCAACCCGCACAGAGAACGGGCAAAAACAAAAGCAGTCACGGGAACTCTTTCCGAAAGATTGATGGTAGGAACCAGCGTGCCCTATTTCATATCAATTCTGAGGCCACATACCCCATGAAATGGCAAAATAAATAGATGAATATCCGGATGAAGTCCTAAGAATATAGTAAGTAGTATAAGTGACTTAGTGAGGCGAAAATGGTGCACTATTCAACATCTCTTTTAATCGTGGACGACCGTTGTCCATATCAGCGGCCATTTTACCAGTCAGAATCTTAAGATTGGCTGCCTGCGAAGGGCAAGATACGGACTGATTCATCCAGGCCGAGAATTCGGGTACGTTTACTCATGAACATGCCCATTGTCCGGCAAAGATTTGCGCATACGTTGCGACGAATGACGTCTAGAACATGTTCCCATCTGTGTACGTGTAAATTCCGTTGAAAAGAAATGCCTACAGCCCGACTTTTTCCATCTCTCTAGCGCTGGTAGAAACATGAGTAAGTGATAGCAATATCTTACAACCAATAGGGGGCAGAAGAGAACAATTGGCACCGAGTAGATCAGCTGCAGCGATTTCCAATCCTTGACGAAGATGGGGGAACACTCCAGTCAGCGCCTCTCCGACGGCGAAGAAGGCATTAATGATGAGCCACAGACGCGCGGGCATCGATGGAAGTCAGCTCCATACCTGTGGGAAACGCAACGGCTGTGAAACGGTCACACTGGCGAGCATGGTACCAGCCAGCTGGTATTTAACGTTTAACAAGAAACAGCGCCAGCAAACAACAACTTAACCGTCATGGTTGCATGCCGAAGACGGGGCCGCTCAACTCGCGCCGACGTCCAAGCGTCGCCGAAAATTTCAGTCATACAAACAACATGTATAATCCCGTAAAATTTATTTAATTCTGCATGACAGATCTCCGGTATTTCTGGAGTAAAATTCATCAAACCCTAGTGCTTAATGGTGATAGAAAAGGGACCCTGGAGACATTGATTGGTCTGCCAGATGACCAGACCATATACAAGCCGCTCAAGTATATTTTTACTCCATATCAGGTATGCGTGGCAATACGTTAGCTTTCACTTCGATGGTGCTGCAGCTACTTGACTAGATTACAAAGCGATTCAAATTGCAGATAAGTCTGTACAATGAGAGGTTTCAGATGCACTCGGGTGGGGGTACAAATTACGCCAAAGGGTGTTTTTCCGTGATTGGTTTCCGAGTTTTGCCAATATTTTGCCTACGGCTGTGGACTTAGTGCCCAAATTTGTGCATAGGAGAATGGGGGAAAGGGGTTTAATGTAAAGGGGAATCGTTGGCAAGTCAAAAAATTAGACGCACCTTGTGAGGTCGCTGGCCTGTGGCTGACCTAAGGTCAGGCCATGGTTTCAGTGAAGGTGATTTTTAGGGATTCGTTCAATATGATCCGACAGCGAATGGCTGGACGAAGTCATGCACCCCCGCGATACTTCCTTAGGCAACAAACACTTGAATGAACAAATTACGTTGACCTAAGGTCAGGTAAAAAGGTCAGACCTAAGTCCAAATCAACCTGATTTATTGCTCTTGGGCTTCCTGTATGGGGTAGTTTCTGATGTTTCTTCGAATTCATTGACAACAGGAACCGCATTATTCACCTTTCATGGACTTCTTAAAGATCAGAATAGGTCACTAATCTAAAATGACACGGGTCAACATTTTGTTTTAAAAGCATACTGTCTGGCATCATCTTTGTCCTTTATCCAAATGCAAAGCTTAAAGCGATCTTGCATGATTTTGGTCATCATGACCTTTTAAAGGTCAGACGAGGTCACCGACCTTAGTTGGGCGTGACACTTTGTGCTTAGAACAGCTATCAAGGTTCCAGGAGCCCTTTGGAGACCAATCTTGAATATGACTTTGTTTGACGTCATTTGACACAAAGGTCACAACCTAGGAACCTCAAACTTGGACCCAAGTGATTTCACGAACAAGTTAACACACCCTATAAATTTGGTTCTCTAGCTCTTCTACTTCGTGATATCTCGGGAGGGAAGGGTCAAATTGACCCCCACCCGAGCAAAGGGTATTCAACTGGCCAGCCGGGCGCGTTTTAACTAGGACAGACGTATACATAATCAAATGGCCTACTTCCTATTTAGACGTAAATGCACAAATCTATCCAACCTGTGCGGGTTCCCGCGATGTTAACGAGCTCCGCTCCCTGTCCCCCGAATGTGCGGATCGATCAGTTTGCTTGGATCCATTGCAACAGACCCTCTAGCGAGGAACTTTCCAGACAGTAAACATAAGGCGTCCTAGCCCGCAGCAGACTCGATGCTTCAGCCAGGCGCCGGGAGGAGGGCGGGGGGGGGGGGATCGGCCCGCGCGGCGGCACATATGACCCCCCCCCCTGCTGTCCTTGCCGGCAGCGCACTCGACGGTCCAGCCAGGCCCCGGGCCCGCGCGGCACCCACACAGCACGAACGGCACGCTGAAGAAGCCGTAGGAGAAGACGGCTGCGGCGAAACGCAGGCCGGTGTAGACGCCGTAGCTGGGCGCCAAGGCCGCGGCCGTGCCCACGATGGTGGTGAGGACGACGCCGGCCATCAGCGTCACCACCCGGCCCCACCTGTAAGGGATGGCGCCTGACACAACCGTGACCGCAATTCCAACCGCATTCCGCGTGACCGCCTGGGTCACGCGGAATGCTAGTGTGTGACGTGACATGCATATTGTAGCACGTGATGCAGTTGTTGCACTTTGTTGTTTTTTTAAAGATGTTATCCCAGTCTTTTAAATGGACGGATTTCTGCGATCGGAGCTCACTTTGAGCAGTGCTTGTGCGCACCCAGATATTTAACATTCGATCGCGCAATTCCAGGTCGGTGGCATAACCTGGTGGCGAAAGCTTAACGTGCAACAATGTTTGACACGGTCCGTTTCGCCCTCCGATGTCCTCTGATTTTTATCGCGGCCACTACCACCAGCCACAGGCCATTTCCGTCAAGAGCAAAAAGCAGACGCCTAAAGCGACTCAAACCCACCCTTCCACGGTGTGTGGATGGGAATGCCGGCACTAACCAATTGAGCCACCGGGACAGACAAGTTTCAGTCCTGAGTTGACGTTATAGACGGACGAAAAGCAGAGAGGTCAAAGAAGGCGACCGAAATAAGCCCGCACTTTAAAGCTATCTGAAACTGCGAAACGTTTGAGCAAATCAATCACGTTTTTCTGCAAACGAAAGAGATGTAACGCAAACTGCATTGCCATTGCCGAGAGCCGACAATGTCTACGCCACTGAAGCAAAAAGGCCCCAATCGGGCTCCATTCAGCCCTGCCTCACCCCACCGGCCGTGTAGGTTGTGCTGACCTGTCAGCGATGACTCCTGTCAGTATGGACCCGACAGCCACACCAACGAAAAATAGGCTGGCGCCGAGCGGCCGCAGCGGCTCACTGTCGCATACGAGGTCAAACTGCGCGAGAGAACACCTTGTCATGCGGTGCTACAACGAACATTGCATATGCCCTGTCGGTGCGGTAACAGATGACTTTACATTATGAGCTTCGCAATCTCCCCTATGGTGGCCACACTGATAACATGCTGCTGGCTGATGCCGGCATACAGGCGACAGTGCTTTTTCTTATCGCTTAATAACAAGCATGGCTACAAATACACGCTACAAGTTCGCCCCCTCCCTCATGTCTTCAAAAGTAGCGCATTTGTTTTGTAATTGACGCATTTATTTTGAAGTCAACCTGCTTATTGCTGTAATACTGGGATAACATTTGACATGACGTCATCCAATTTCTGCAACATTGCGCTTTACTTAAACAGCATTGCACAACACGCATGCTTGACACAAGCTGTTGTGGCATAACAATTCACCTTTAGAAGAAATGTAAATGAATTTGGCGACTATTTATAACCTTTCTGTCAAGAGATTAGATGAACGTGATGACATATTTCATCGTAGATCCAAGGTGTCGAAAGAACTACGTGCGTGTCCACTTACATTCCACATGTCAGAGCATTCTTTTATATACTTTCGACAGGAGCCTGAGCCCCACTTCCAATTCTGACTTGAGCCCCTCCCCTCCTCAATTCTACTTCGAGTCTCCTTAATCCATTTCAGAAAATGAGAATACTGGGCCAAATAAATGAAGGAAATTTGTATTTTATCTGTTTGTCATCACTACTGTTCATTTGGACTAAAAAGTACTTTGTAGGCACATGACGTCATTGCTATGCTTACCCTTCGATAAGTGAGGTCAGTCTGCAAACGATTGACAAGTTTTCACAGGATGACACCCGGATTACGATCCGGAACAAGTGACTGACACATGCAGTGGCTTTTAAAAGTACAAGGAGGCCCAGAAAGGAGTTAACCATGCTTTGCTCACAGTGACAAGTGTATGTGTTCAATCAAATGAACAGTATGTATGCGTTCCCAGCACTGTCAGTTGAAGGGCAAAACACATGCAGCGATAACAATAGCGAGACAACGAATCGCACGCAGCTTATGCTCTCGGTTAAGGGGCCCTAATCTGTGTCAAGTAGGCCCTTTGCTGGCTTTGAAGGCCTCAGTAATGAACAAGGAGCCCCCTGTTCCAGAAAATGAACACCCTTTTAAATCAGGAAAAGACTATTCTGAACAGGAGATCCCTTCATGTGTCAAAAGACCGTTACTTCAGATCGGAATCCCTTGTTTCGGAATAATGAGCCCGCTTGTGTCCCTTGGAGGTCCTCTTCATGAACTGCAAGATATGAATGAGCCAAATAGATATTGTGCTAAATAAGAAGCCTTTCCACGCCTAAGAAGGCTTTTTCTGGGACATGATGCCCTATTTTGGGCAGGGCACGTCATTTTCTGGATAGGAAATCTCCCTCAAATAATCAGCAGGTCTCCATTCTGAATTGTTTGCGTTGCCAACATGACATTGCCCAGGAGGCTCCACTGTGATGAGATCCCATTTGTCCAAGAGCCTGGCTGGAAAATTATACCCGCCCTGAGACTCAAAGCCTGCGTCGCCGCCCCTGTGCTAAGCATTTTAAGGGTGCTGTCCCAACTCCTCTCAAGCTCTCGCACCCTTTGCACTCGAGATCTTTCAACTTCTCGAGTTGGGTCGAAGTTCATGGTTCATCACCCTCTGACCCGCAGCCGGCGTGGTCTTTAACCACTTGCATACATAAGCACCTTGTTGTGGTTCAATGTACAACGAGCAAAGATAGCATAACATTTACACCACGTATGCCGGGCATGAGGTGCTGCATTTTGTGGGAGGGATACCTGGTAAAATTAATGAAATGAAACGTTAAACCAGTAAATACTCGAGCGCATTTTCAGAAACTTTCCTCCAGCTAAACATGGCCGTCTTCACGTTTTGGCTAGCCGCTGCCATTGGTTCAGCCTTGCAGAAAGCGACTGAAGGCTTCTGCATTTGGTGTGTCACATTTCAAATATGTGTGCGATGATATCGAAATAATTTTGAGCTTGAACTGAAAATGCGGTAGCATTGCTGCAGGGTAGCGCTTGTTGCCGGCAGTGCTGAACAATGACATTTTGCTATAGTTACGTTCGCCCTTTATGCGGTGTTTTTCCAACAAAAAGCAAAGCAAAACATATAAATACACCTAAACACGTTTTGGATACTAAAACGCATTGGTGTGTCATGGCCATAGACAGACAGGAAACGATTGTGTTTGCTTTACTTGACGAGAGTGCGTTGATTTATTTAGAAATCTAACGGCATTTGTGGACAGGTAGATCAAGTGTCCCATTTGGCCGGTAAGATCAGTGTTCTAAGATTCTTTTCCCAATAGCTGAGATGTTCTATTTGAGTTGGCTATTTCCGCCAAATTATTTCATTGTACTTCCTGCTCACCAACATCAGAAACTGTCCTTCCCTAAACCAGCTTACAACAAATCGCGTTCCCAGCACAGCTTGGTCAACAATTGTCCCTGCATGAAATCGGAAAATACTTTGTCCAAGGGCCTTCAATGAGGGAGCGATATAAACAGCGCCTCCCGTGCCCCTATCGCTCGGCGCCTACTCGCCTCTGAGACGATGGTGCTCTCCATGACGGACGTGTCGTACACCCACTGACTGCAGCCGACGCTCTGCCGACCGAAGCCCTCCGGGTGACAACCGGCTGTCACATTATCGCGTTTGTACACATCGCAGCGGCTCCACTGGTGCTCCTCGTCCGGCGGCGTGCTGAACGTCAGGAAGTCGGCGCTGTAGGTGGCGTTGCGGCCGTCCTCACAGCCCTCCACCAGACATCTGCGGCAGCCAGCCCAGGGTCGCTGCATCGGCTCGTAAGAGGCCGATCTCGGCCTTGGAGCCCGATGACCTGGCTTGGTCGTAATGGCTGACAGATATTACCGTTGACTCCCTGCAAGCAGTGCTGGGACTCACAAGTGTTGGAACAAATGGCTTGATATAGCAGACTCCGAGTCTTGTTTCGTATTATGAGTTTGTATCTACGTGGTCCCAAGCTCCAAAGGTATTGTGGCATGCGTTAAGATTATTTTATGTTTCGTAACACACTTGCATCATCCAGTGTGCTCAGGGCTTTTTTAAAATGTTAAAAGGAGTGTTCCACATTTAAATGAGGTTTTGAGCTGAAATAAGCATCTTGAAGACCTTTCGGTGCTGTTCAAAACCCTACTCTTCTTAAGACCTAAGCCCATCCAGTTTCTGAAACCCGCGCCCGTGAAAATGGAGAAAGGTTTGTCGAGGAGAGAAAGTTCAAAGTCACCTTGGCATTCATATTCAAATCCTGCCATTCAATAAGCCATGCGGCAATCAAGGCCAAAAAATATATGTCGAAGCTTACATATTTGACGTTCGTAAGCACGATTTCCAGATAAAAGGTCGTTGATTGGCTATTAATCGTTGTTGTGCAAGGCGCGATGACGTAATCAAACCATGACGGACTGAGAAGCGTAGTTACTCAGAAGAAGACTGTGCCCTCTAGAGTGACCTTTCCTGCTTAAAAAGTATGCTAATTATATGAGCAGCTGGGTTTGTTCACTTAAGTGAGCATGCTTTATCATATCTGATGCTGAATTGGATATTTTCGAATTTTGAGCATCCCTTTAAGTGCAATGGAAAATACTGAGCCCCACTGACCAGATACTTCGCTCACCATTCCGCTTCCTCTACACACTGCCGTCCTAGCCCAGTTCTAGCCCCTACCTAGCCCCATCTCATAACGCGGCCAGTTCCCTGCATTTTTTTGTAGTTTTTTCAACCAAGCGCCACAAATGGAGCAAACCTGAACAGGAATCTGAATGTTGGAAGACGCTGGGAAAATCCATTTTTGAGACTCGTCACATTGCCGGAAATGCTCCCACCTAAAAGTGATTATAAAAAAGCTGATCACGTTGTTACGACTGCACGTTTGAATTGCTCCTCGAACGTCCATAACGACGCGCCTCCCCCACCCGCTCCTCACCACGAGCTGACCAGCATCCGCCAGACTGCCATCCCCAACTCTGGTCACCCGGTGGCGCACGGCTGGTACCTGTGCTCCATGGGGAAGGCCGTCCACGAGTAGCCGACTGTGATGGCCGCCGCAAGGATGGACGGCAAGCAGGCGAAGAAGTACACCACCTTCTGGTAGCGGCCCCAGCCGTTCACTCGCTCCAGCACCTCCTCCACGTCCATGTCGTGCCGAGCCGCCGCTGTCCACGGCGCTGCCGAACAGGGATGGGGCCGCTGGGATCCGTGCAAGTGCGCGCGCTGCCCCGTGTGAGGCCTATTTCATCCGAAATGAACGGCATTGTTATACATTTCAGCTTGTCAATTTTAGAAACTATACACCCACACGCGAGGCAAATGTTATGTAGCTAAAATATTATGCTATGCACACTTTCTTCATTCATTATTCGGGTCACCGAAAGTGAGACGAATCGGGCACGACGGAGGAAGGGGGAAGCGTATGCCATGGCACTTAAATCAATGGTTGGCAGGTAGACTGATATCTTGCGGCATGATGTCACAATTCAAACGACATTTCCCCGATTTTTTGCATCATTTTTGGACCATGAAATTGTTGCTGGGTAATATATTCAAAGTTGGCAATTTCCCTCTTGTGCTTCAATTATTTGTGATATGCTTAAAGTGGAAGATTCACTTATACATAACCAGCAAACTGAAGAGGAAGGAGCCTGTTAAAAATCCCCGGATGAAAATTGAAGATGGCTTCCTGAAATTGTCCTTCAATCCGCCTTCGTAACCCATGATCCACCGATGTAGTGTATATCTATATATATATATATATATATATATATATATATAATAGATAGATAGATAGATGATAGATAGATAGATAGATATATAATAGATAGATAGATAGATAGATAGATAGATAGGTATATATATATATATATATATATATATATATATATATATATATATATATACATATGCGTGTGTGTATATGCATGTATGTATGTATGCACGTATGCATGTATGTATGCATTATGTATGCATGTATGTGTGTGTATGTATGTATGTGTTGTGTGTGTGTGTGGTGTGTGTGTGTGTGTGTGTGTGTGTTGTGTGTGTGTGTGTGTGTGTGTGTGTTGTGTGTGTGTGTGTGTGTGTGTGTGTGTGTGTGTGTGTGTGTGTGTGTGTGGGGTTGTGTGTGTGTGTGTGTGTGTGTGTGTGTGTGTGTGTTTGTGTTTAGAGGCAAGCACACAGCTGGGAGATCTAGCAGCTAGATATGATAGCCCTATCGAAGAAGCAACCATTTGCTACTTACGGTAGCCCTATCGAAGAAGCAACCATTTGCTACTTACGGCACCAACACCAATGCCGACTCGTGTTCGCACAATCCTCCTCGCGTATATTCTGGATCCTCTTTGGAAAACGGAAGCATTCAACAAATCTGCTTAATGGTCAACTATGACATATTTAAGGATGACAGAACCTGTGCAGGTCAGACATCGGCTAACATTAGTAAGAAGTAATCTGCCGGGCACATGTCTGTAAAAAAAAACAGACAAAAAAACAGTGATTTGCATTGCCTTGCTTCCCACGATGTCCCAAGACGCACCATCAAGGCGATAGATTATGCGCGGTGCCAAAAATGAATGCGGAATGAAGTAATGCAAATGAAATAGAGGTAAATGCAGGACTCCAAAATTTTGTGAGAAGATGTTAAGTTGACAATCAGAAAGTTATCTGAAACTCGGCATTCCAGCTGGAATGGTTCGGGAATGGGATGGAACCATACATAAGCAGCAGTGAATCCACCTCCAGCGTGGAAAGGGTAAGGTTTGACGGGTTTTGTTATTGTATGTCTGAGCGCTTGTCAATGATATACGTCGTATGGTTTTTGTTAGGAATTGATAGACTACATGGACGGCATGCAGTCTCTGACAATTGCAAGTCCATGACTTATTGTGTTTAGGATTTTACACAAACTAATGATACAACTGTGCCTTTTATTTCATTGGTTGTATGTTACCATTAACAATAAGCTCACCTGATCGCGTAAAAGTGAAGCTCCCGACGTGTCCTGGTGCTTGAGTGACCGCAGCTCTAACAGGGGCTCACGACGTGTCCTGGTGCTGGGGAGACCGCAGCTCTAACAGGAGCTCCCGACGTGTCCTGGTGCTTGAGTGACCGCAGTTCTAACAGGAGCTCCCGACGTCTTCTGCTGCTCAAGTGACCGTAGCTCTGACAAGAGCTCCTGACGTGTCCTGGTGCTTGAGTGACCGCAGTTCTAACAGGAGCTCCCGACGTGTTTTTGTGCTTGAGTGACCGCAGTTCTAACAGGAGCCCCCGACGTGTTCTGCTGCTTGAGAGATCACAGTGCAAACTGATAGGCCCGACGGGCCTGTGAGTCCACCGCACACGGCTTCAGACGATACAGCAGTGGGTCTAGATACGGTATAAGTGGAGCGATTTGAGATGTCAATGTGCGCGGGCATGGTCTAAATGCGTGCCACTCTTGCAGCAAGGTTTCGCCAAGTGGACGTGGGGGGCGAGTATCCCCGCTCCATTGGCCATGGGACGAGGAAAGCATAAACATAAGTGACAAATTTCAGCGTATGCATATAAGTTTTTCTGGATTAGTATGGACCGAAATATTTATCCTGAACTGTTCATCCCATTCCCTCAGATATGATAACCACTGAATTGCAGCCTCTCTCTCCTAAAATTTTCTTTAAAGACGTTTTCAGCTTAATGTGAAGGTTGGTTGGGTAGATTATCAAACCACAACGTTTTAAGCTGTGTTTATTATCACGAGTGATCAGAAGCGCAGCTCAGGGGCGTAGTCAGGGGTCTGCCCAGGAAAGGGCCAAACGGGTTATAGGGAGTTCATTCAGCCAAGGGGTCATCTTCATCGCTATAGGAGTGCTACTTTCATTGAGACGAACTTTTTATGTCCAGGACTCCATTTGTTGCCTCAGGGGTCCGTTTTAGGTCGTTTTAGAAGCCTCGCGAGCGTTTAAAACTACCAAACGAATGAGCCGTTGGCCGTAAGGGGCCCCTACCACCTTCACGCAGTGACCATTGCCCTAAATGCCCCCAACCCTGCCCTTCCCCTTTTGGATACGCCAATGGCACAGCTTAGAACTTCGGCTATTGAATATTTAGCCAAGGGTTTCTTGATAACATCGTTTGACCAGTGTCTCTTTGCGTATTTAAATTTGATCAATTTCAGCATAAATCCACTGAATTCAAATG